AAGTTTCACTTTAAAAGTCACTATGAATTTGGAAGAGTGAATATTCCACCAGAGGCAAAGACATCAGTACAGGTATTTAAGAAATATGAAAAAGCAGGAAAAACTCACACCACCAAAAGAATATACTAATTCTCTTACAACTGACCTCAAAGAAAAGGAAACTCATGCACTGCCTGAAAAGGAATTCCAAATACTGATTCTAAGGGAACTAGTAAGATAACAAATGAATAAAGGGAGCCCATTTGATGAAATTTTAAAAAATGAGAAATTCAACAAAAAGATAGATAGCATAAGAGAGAAACTAACCCAATTCATAGTGTTGAAAAATTTAATGAATGTTATAAAAATATAATAGTTTGAAAGCAGAATATCTCAAGCAGTAGAATGAATTGTACAGAAAGACAGGTCCTTTGAAACACCCAGTCAAATAAAAATATTAGAAAAAACAATGAAAAAGAATTCAAAGATGAGTTATAGGACTTATAGGAATCCACTGACTGAACAAATTGTCATATCATCGTAGGTCCAGGTGAAGAAAGGCGTGGGAATATTATTTAATGAAATAGTTGCTGAAAACATCCCATATCTTGGAAGAGATAAAGAAATTCAAAGGTCTTCAAACACATTCAGCCCAACCAGTTCCTCACCAAAGCACACTGCAAGCAAAGCACAAAAGTGTCAAACAGTAAAATCTACAAACAAGCAAGAGAAAAGTGCCAAGTGACCCAGAAGTGAATCCCCATATGATGATCTGTGGATTTCTCAGCAAATCCTGTTTGTCGAGAGAGAATGGAGTGAGCCACCTCATGTGCTAAAAGAAAAGAAAAAAAAAATTGCGAGGCCAGAATAGGATGCTTAGTGAAGCTGTCCTTCAGCAATGAAGGAAAACATCTTCCAGAGGAGCAAAAGCTGAGGAAAACTATCAGCACCTGACTTACTTTACAAGAAGTGCTAAAGGGAATTTTTCAACGGGAAGCAAAAGAATAGTAAGTACTACTATGAAAACAGGGTGGTTGAAAATCCCTAGTGCAGCCAAATACAAAGTCTAATTCAAAATACCCCATTACCAGAACTGTGGTGTGTAAATCTTCAGTAGGAAGGTGTAAAGTCAAAATAACCCAAAATAACCACAACCACATTAAGTTGTTGAGAAATAGTAAAATATAAGAATATGTAAATGTGACAACAACAAAAAAATAAACTTTAAGTAGAAAGGTAAAAATCAAGGGTATTTGTATACAACAAGTTGTGATCAGCTTAAAATAGTCTATTATGATCCTAAGATTTTTTTCTAACCATAAGATTCTTCATATAAGCCCAAGAGAAACCACAAAGCAAAAACTATCGCAGACTAATAAACAAGAAAAAGAAAGGAATTGAGTCTTAACAATTCAGAAAACACAAAGGCAGACAAGAGTGTAATAAAGTAAGAAGGGAACTACAAAACAACGAGAAAATGATTTGCAAGCAACAGGATAACATTGGATAATAACATTGAATATAAATGGATAAACACTCTAATCAATAACATAGACTGGCTGAATGAATTAAAAAATCAAGGCCCAATTATATGTGGCCTGTGAAAGATCCATTTTAGCTTGAAGGACACACAGAGACTAAAAATGAGCGAATGGAAGACGCTATTCCATGTATACAGTATCCAAGGGGGGGCAAAGATGGCTTCCAGTCTAAAACTGTCCCAGAGATAAAGAATATTAGTAACAAATATTACTAGACATGAAAGAAGAAACAAATGGCCGTATATAACAGCAGGAGGCTTTGACAACTTGCTTTCTGTAAGAGATCAGTCGGACAGAAAATGTATGTGGAAAACTAGACACAGACTGCATGTTGGACTGATGGAGGTAGCAGCCACGCACAGAACATTCTATCCAATAGCAGCAGAACATGCATTCTTCTCTACCACACAGGAAACATTCTCCAGTATAGACCATATGTTAGGTTGCAAGAGACATCTTAATGAACTCAAGATTATTAAATTATACACAATATGGTATCCAGTCATAGCAATAGAAAACTAGAAGTCATCTGGTAGAAGCAGTTTTGGAAAATTCACAAGCATGTGAAAATTAAAACAATGTGCTCCTGAATAAGCAATGAATCAAAAAGAAATTAAAAAAAAAACCTTTATACAAATGACAATGGAAACACAATATATCAAAACACATGGGTTTCAGGAAAACCATTTCCTAGAAGTTCATAGCAATAAATGCCACGTTAAAAAGAAGAAAGTCTTCATAAATTGCCTGACCATATGCCTCAAGGAAGTAAAAATTTAAAAAATGATAAACTAAATACAAAATTAACACAGGGAAGGAGATAATAAAGATCAGAACAGAAATAAATAGACAGAAAAACCATAGAAGAAAATCAATAGAGTGAAGAATTGGTCTTTGAGAAAACAAAATTAACATTCCCCTCACTAGACTAAGAAAAATACAGAGAAAAAACTTAGATATAAGCAGAAAAGAAGGAGGAGACACTACAAAGCACCTCAGAAGTAAATGGGATCACAGCACTAGTGGGAAGAATTTCAATCTAGAGGAAGTGGATAAAATACTAGAAAAATGTAACCTATCAAGATAGAACCAGGAAGACATGGAAAGTTTGAACAGTCAAATTGAAAAAAAAAAAAAAGAAAGAAAGATAATCGAAGCAATCATTAAAAATCTTTCAATAAAGACAAGCCTAGAAACAGATGGCTTCCCAGCTGAATTTTACCATTCAATGCAGAATTATTACAGATATTTCTCAAACTCTTCCAAAAAGTGTGACTAGAGGAAATACTGAAAAAAAAATTAATGAGGCCAGTATCACCTTGTTAACTAAGCCAGATAAAAACGTCACAACAAAACTACAGGTTAATATCACTGATGCAGACATCCTCGATAAAATACTAGCAAACTTAATTCAACAGCACATCAGAAAGATTATGATCATGTGGAATTTATTTCTGGTATAAAAAGCTAGATATAACATATGTGGATCAATCAATGCCATGTCTCACAGTCACATAATGAAAGATTAAAAACCACATCATCATCTCAATAGAACAGAAGAACATTCAATATCTTTTCTTGGTAAAGCTGTGAGTAGTTTGGGTATAAAAGGAAGGTTCTTCAACATAATAAAAGCCATTTATAAAAACCTCACAGCCAACATCATAATCAGTGGGAACAATTGTTATTTCCCACTAAGATCCAGTACAGGGCAGAGATGCTCACTCTCAGGACTTCTATTCAACCAGACCTTGAAGTACTTGCAAAAGCAATCACACAAGAAAAATAACTAAAAGGCATGTACATTGAAACTGAAGAAGTAAAATCATCTATATTTGTAGATGGCATGATCTTATATATTGAAAACCCCAAGGATTCTACAAAGGACTCTTAGAACTAATAAATGAATTCAGTAAATAAACAAAAGATTATAAGGTAAACAAACAAAAGTCAGTAGCATTTTAATGCACAAATAACAATATACTTCTGAGAAAAAATTTCACTTATGACAGCACAAAAACTTATGAATAAACAATTAAGCAGGTGATGAAAGAAATAAATAAAAAACACTAATAAATGGAAAGATATCCAGTGTTCATGAATCAGAAGAATTACACTGTAAAAATGTTTCTATAACCCAAAGAATATAAAGATTCAATGAAATTAATATTAAATCACCAATGTTATTATTCATGGATATACGAAAAAAATCTAAAATATCTATGAAACCACACACACACACACAAAAATTACTGAGATTGGAAAAAAGTTGGAGTCATCACACTTACTGACTTAAAACTATATTGCAAGCAGAGCACACCACCAGCGAGCCATCTAAAGACTAGGGAAAATATTTACAAACCATATGTCCAATAAGGGACAACATTCAAAATTCTTAAAGAATTCTTTTAACCTAATAACAGAAAAACAAATAACACATTTAAATATGGACATAGGACCCAAACAGAGATTTCTCAAAAAGAAGACATAAAAAATAACCAAGTGGTAGAGACCAAGTTGTTCGAGATCACCAATCATCAGGGAAACGCAAATTAAAATCACTGTAAGATATCACCTCCTATATGTTAGGGTGCTACCTATCACCAGAAATAACAGAAACTGGAAAGAATGTTGATAAAGGAAAAAAGCACTTGTACATTATTCATGGGAGTGTAGATTGGTGTAGCCATTTCAGAAAACAGGAGAGAGGTTCCCAAAAGAACTAAAATTAGAGCTACCATATGACCTAGCAGCCCTCTGCTGGGGCCATACTCAGAGCAGATGAAGTCACCACCTTGTAAAGTCATCCGTGCTTCCATGTTCCTTATTCTCCATAGCCAAGATATGGAAAGAATGTACATTATCCCATAATTTCTGCTGTAAGCTTTAAATAGGTACAGTAATTTATTTATCTGATAAAAAGAAGTAAGATTGGTAAAGAAAACTGCAGGTGGTGTGACAACCTGGGTGCGTGTCATTTCTGTACCTATAATACTTATCAGCACCTCTGTTTTCAAAAACACAACCACCAATTAGGGTTTTATCTACCAGGATTCTATTCATGGAAACTGGCTTTTAAGACTGTTTTAGCTGGGCGTGGTTGCACATGCCTATGACCCCAGCAATTAAGGGTAGGGGGCTGATGCAGGAGGATAGTGAGTTCAAAGCCAGCCGCAGCAAGGTAGCGAGGCCCTAAGAAATTTAGTGAGACCCTGTCTCAAAATAAAACATAAAAAGGGGATTGCTTCAGTGGCAAAGTGTCCCTGGGTAAAATCTCCGATACAAAAAGATAAAAAGAAAACCACACAGCCCAAACAAAACAAAACAAAACAAAAACTGTGTTTAGTGTGGGTCTCAGATGGCACAACGATTCCAGGAAATAAGGAAGCCTGGTTCATACATTTCTCTATGTAGCTCCAAAAGGTGGAAAGGTCTAACGTATTCGTATCACCTGATTCCTTTTAGAGACCATCCTCACTGTTACTGTTGCCGAGATAAAGATGCCACTTTCTTTATGACCCTCGTGAGGGCCTCTTGGATCTCCTTGTTCCTCAGACTGTGGATCAGAGGGTTCCACATGGGGATGAGGATGACACTGAAGACTGACAGCACCTTGTCCTGCTTTGTGCTGTGGCTAGAGCTGTGGTGCGTGTACACAGAGAGGGCTGTGCCATGGAAGAGCGTCACCATTGCCAGGTGGGAGGCACAGGTATCGAGGGCCTTGGCACAGCCTTTGAATGAGGGTATTTCCAGGATGGAGGCTGCAATGAAGCCACAGGACAACAGGATGAGAAGGAAAGAACCAAACCTACAGAAACCACGAAGCAGCTTAGTGATGGACGTAACAGAAACTGATTCTAGAAAGTCCCCTGAGGAGTTAGATAAGGACGAGGTGGAAAGAACCTCTGTGTGCTCTGTTCCCTGCAGGGAGTTACTCTGAGATAAACTGCCTAAAATGGACGAATCTTGAATTTCTTGGTTTCTTTTGGATCCCTGGACTCTGCACCCAGGAAGGTCAACACTTAGACTTTTGCACGCACTGGTTTGGGATTCTCAATTACCCAGAAGCTCACTGCGCTTCATAGGTTCATAACTCATGCTGTGAGGGAGCATGACTGGAGCTCATGTAAGGGTAGTGAGCTCAGGGGAGGGCTTGGATTAGGAAACCGAGGCAGCATTTCGAGAAATTCTTTTCCCTTTTTCACCCAGGAGCCAGTCTATGGAAGGTAAAGCACCGGGTCTTCCGACCAAGTCGTAACTAACTGAAAGAATACTTCTCCA